TATGTGATATATTCCCCAGTGTTTCTCTGCACCCTTCTGCAGGTCGTCCACGCCATCCACAACATCCTGCTCTCGAGAGTCATCTGGCTGCGCGACATGGATGCTACGGTGGCCGGCTTCGCTGCCCTCGGGTTCCCCAACTGCGGGGGAGCCCTGGATGCAACCCACATCCCTGTCCGGGCCCTGGATCATCGAGCGGCCCATTTTATGAACAGGAAGGGGTACTGCTCGATCATACTCCAGGCTCTTGTGGACCATCGTGGCTAGCCACAATGTTGTGGAGCGGAGTGGAGAGGTCTTCCTCCCCGCATGGATGGCAGCTGAGGGCCAGGCCTATGAACAGCCCTGCACAGCTGCCATCCGCCAGGCGCACCAGGATGGGGTGGGCATCCCGGACAACTGGACCCGCAATCATGTGGAGTGCGCCTTCGGCCACTTGAAAGCCCGCTTCTGGTGTTTGCTCACCCGTCTCGAGATGGGTGAGCAGAATGCCACAGAGGTAGTGGCCACGTGCTGCGTGAGCCACAATGTTGTGGAGCGGAGTGGAGAGGTCTTCCTCCCCGCATGGATGGCAGCTGAGGGCCAGGCCTATGAACAGCCCTGCACAGCTGCCATCCGCCAGGCGCACCAGGATGGGGTGCACATCCTGGAGGCCCTGATGGACATGTTCTCCCAGGCCCCATAGTAGGGTCGCCTCGGTCTCCCTTTACAACTCCCTCCCGTCCCCTCTCCTTCCCCCTCCCCTCCCCTCCCTTCCCCTCCCCTTACCTCCCAATAAACACCAAACACAGTTTTTCTTGAACACAAAAACTTGTCTTCGTTTTATTTACAATGGGGAGAGAGGAGATCTAGGATGGGAGGGAGAGGAGACCTTGAACTGGGAGGGGGAGGAGACCTTGAACTGGGAGGGGGAGGAGCTACTCCTGTGATGGGTGGCCCCTGCAACCACTCCTGTGGGGGCGGACCTGCACATGGGGGGTAGGCCACATTGGGGCAGGCTGCACGGGGAGGTGGGCAGGAGCAGGAGGGATGGGGCAGGGGCAGGAGCAGGAGGGACAGGGACAGGGGCAGGAGCAGGAGGGGAAGGAGGGGCCATTGCAGGAGGGGCAGGGACAGGAGCAGGAGGAGCCAGCCTCTATTTGACCTTGGTTCCACAGCCCACCGGGGACATCTGCTGGAGGACCTTCTGGCTCAGTTTCTTCCCTGTGAGCTATATCGCGCAGCAAGGCTCGGGACTTTCTTCTCCTCCCCCCCACCAGCCCCAGCAGGAAGCCATGCTGGTGCTCCAACTTCATGGGGGAGGGCGGAGGAACGAGGCTGGAGCTCCAGAGTGGTATCCCCACTGTGGAGGGAAGGAGGAGGTGGCTGAGCTTAAACGCAGACCACCTGGAAGGTGGCCGCAGACCACTAGTGGTCCATGGACCACAGTTTGAGAACCACTGAAGAAAAGGCATACAAAGCAATGCTGAAGGAGACCTGTGGTTGCTCATGGTGTGTGAGCAAGAGCTGGAGGAGAAGCAGAATTTGCTCAAGTAGAAGGAAGACATCATGCAAAAGTAAGCTGTGCTAAGTTTTGCCCATATGTTTGGCGTGCAATCTGCTCTTGTAGTTGCTGCTGTGCAAGAACCTGCTGATATTGATCTCATTACAATTCTCCTCTTCTCCTTGCTTCTCCCTCCTCCCCTTTGCATGCAGCACAAGTCACGGGAAGTATGACACAAACATAGAATTTGATTCATAAACTTCAAATGTTATCTCTTTCCTGCATCAATAGCACCAGCAAGATGTATTCCTCCTCTGTCACTCTTCTCCTTTACACGAGACATGTGTATCACAGATGCACTATTAGGCTATGTCTACATTGGCCCCTATTCCGTAATAGGGATGCTAATGTAGCACTTGGGAATAGGCAAATCCGCGGGGGATTTAAATATCCCCCACGGGATTTGCATTTTCATGGCTGCCGCTTTTTTAAGTAGGATTAAGAGATCCTACGGAATAGGGCTTATTTTCCAGAGGATCACGTCCAGACTGGTGCTTTTCTCCAGCTTATCTACAAGCTGGAAAAAAGCGGCAGCCATGAAAATGCAAATCCCGTGGGGGATATTTAAATCCCCCGCGGATTTGCCTATTCCCAAGTGCTACATTAGCATCCCTATTACGGAATAGGGGCCAATGTAGACGTAGCCTTATAGAAACATAAGCCCAGTGTGCTTGGCTTCTAGGTAAGTCCACAGAAGGATGGGGAGGAAGGCCTGCTGTGGACCCTGCTGAATAACAGGAACCTGCACGTGTATCTGAGTAATAAGATCAGCATACCCCATATCATTAACAATGGCTTGCCACAAGGCTCTGTACTTTGTACCAACCCTTTTTAATATTTACATAGTTGTTATGCCTCTGCTCTCAGTATCACATCCCTCCAAATAGCAGGCCCTTCCTTTGCATGTTATGGAAACCCATTCATTTTCTAGGGCTTCTAGCTGTCCTGGGACAACCAAACCCTGACCGTGCTTTAAGTTAATAGGAGAGGAAGTTGCACACCAAATTTGGGGACTCTAGCTCTTACCTTTTAATAAGAGCAAATGAACAAATGGACTGATTGAGTTCCCCTGATAATCAATAGGAGATTAAAGTTAATACTTTGCTAGTGGCTATAAAGCTGGTGAGTGAGACAAAAAGTTGGGAGAGACAAGGGTAATAAAGAGTTCAAAAGCTGCTGGAACTCCTTAATTTCCTGGAGCA